TTTTGTTAAATTTTGCTTTGATTTCATTGTTAGCGAAAATCTTCATTTGTAATAGGCGAAACTCTCCTATATTCGAGACTGCAGGAGACGAGACGAAGGAGGTTCTTGACCAATTCCCATGACAACCGGTTCTACGCACAGGAATTGACTCTGATTTCATCCGACCAAGGGCTGTTTTTCGGTAAGTATTAATCACCTCATTGACCTCACCCTGGCCGTCAGGGCATTACCCCACTGATCTCAAACTGGAGGGTCCTTTATGATCACTTTTTTTCTGATCAAAGGTATATCGGGTTCAATCTAGTCGGAGAATGTCCGGATAGAATGTCTTTTAGAAATCCTAGGAATACAAACTGAGAGGGTACCACAAACTCTCCCACTCGCACCGGGGGTGAACGCATTGATCACCACCGACGTGATGAACGGGTGAGTCGAAGTCTTTAGCTGGTGGTCTACTATGGAACTCTCGAAATCAGAGCGTCCTGCAGACTTTTATTCAACATGACCCGTAGGAGTGAGTCCACTGACGACTGGACATTGTATAAAACGAGACTTTAAATATACATGTCCGACTTAAGAAAGGCAAAGAAGACTACATGGAAAAGTTTCTGCAAAAAAGTGGAAGGCTCTCATAAGTGCTCTAGGTTCAGATGTATTTTCGCAATAAAACCCGTTTCTCCGACTTATTTCTAGGACGTAAATAGGAAGTGAAATAACTGCATAGCCTTTGTCGACCTTCTGGACCCTCAACCTCTCCTCTTTCCTGCTAAAAACTCTGGAGAGACTAAGGGACTGGTACATAATGAGGCGTATTTCGAGGAAATATCTATCAGGAGCGCAGCCTGCCTTGCTATTCCTTTCAACAACGTCCTGCTCTAGACGGTCTTATCTACGGCTCATCCTGGATAGGAAACTTTCATGGAAGCCGAATATCGAAGAGAGATCAAAGGGGCAACAATTACCTTATACTACTAAGGTGGGGTCTTTCACCGAAAGTACTCCTCTGGCTCTATGACGCCATAGTCAAGCCCATTATGTTCTATGTGGCGTAAAGAAACTCAAGAGCTTTCAACGGGCAGCGCTTATCATCATGTGTGATGTACTAAGGTCCACTCTACTTGACTATTACAGTGTCTTCCAAGCCGAGGTTGAAGCCACTAAGGTAGCAACAGATCAGCTGCTCCGGAGTGCAGCTTCCTTTAGATAAGTGACCATCTAACGTACATATATATAGTATAGGTACATAAATATAAAATGTTTGCTTGCACTCGATCTTAGCCCTTCCTTACTTGTTAAATATTATTTTATTCAAATTAGTCGATTAAATTAAGAAATATAATTGAATCATACAACCTACCGATTGTGGTTAAAGTTATGAAACAGAAATAGGCAGAGTCCAAAAACGACCATTTCTCCCAGTAAGCAAAAAGTACAGCGCCACCCAAAATATAGCTGATAACCAAAAATACACAAAGCCAGATCGGTACTGGGCGATCCTTTGGCGATATATCACCGTAGTAATCGCTCCAATCGTCACCATAGTTCGAGTCGTCATCATAATCATAACTGTAGCGGGGACGTACCTGGCGCTTTACCGGGAACCCCATGGGAGACATGATGCGCGGTGAAGGTGGTAAGCGTTCTATAAATGCAGTGCAATTTTGAAATATAACAAAACCAGGTGGAGGCAAACTATATACATTATAAAATATGAACTCATCTTACCCGGACGTTCTCTACGATACCGCCGATCTCTATGCCTTGGTTGATACGCCATCTCACGATTGTCGTAGTCATCATAGTATACATCACGATCATCTAAACAGTAATCGTCGTATTCATCGTCGTAATCATCAATGGGCGCCGGTGAGCGACCGCGTTTTGTGTGGTTCATTTGAGGGTGAGTGAACTCTGGCAATTCCAAGCGATCGCCATAATGCGAGTGATACCCAGAGTGTTGGCGATGTGGTGGCTGCGGAGATGCGTGACGCGGTTGATTGCGATGCGAATGATACGAACTAACACCGTTACTACATTGATCCTTGTTATAACCATTTTTTTGCAGCGCCGAGCGCGGCATTGACTGACTGCGTGGCATATGTTTGCCGCGAGGTTCGCGATGGTGGTCGCGATAATGGTCGAGTTCATCAATTGCATAGCGATTGGGTATGATGGGCGTCTTGCGCACAACTTCCTCATCGACGGTGTCGTCGTAGTGTATACGTGGATCTACGGATTTCGCGCGTGCCGCAGGTGGCGCATGCGGCACTGAACGACCGCGTTGCATGGTGCGCGGATTCATTCTATTGATTTCGCGCATTTCTCTCGTTTCGCGTGGCGGCGCTTCACGTAATTCATGTGCTTCACGTGCGTCATGACGTAACGAGTGCGATGGTGGACCAATGTCGCGACGTGCGCTTGAACCGCGCACCGATCGCATGCTGTGTGAGCGCTTTGCTTGTGGCGCATTGAGATCTTCAAAGGAGTCTGGTCGCTGTTTGGGATGTCCGAGGTAACGCTCACGCTCGACCGTGTGTCGACCGCGCATGCTTTCGCGATTGCGTAGGCTGCGTCCGAACCTTGAGCCACGATTAAGTGTTTGTGTCTGCCGTGGACCCTCATCATAATACTGTTGGTCATATTGATAAGGTGGTAACTGTCGGCTGCGTTGTGAATGGCTGCTGTAATGTTGTCGTCGTCCGCTATTACGTCCGCCTTCGTAATCATATCGCCCGGAACGCAAATCCGGATCTGAGTATGCATGTGGTAACCCAGCAGAATTGCCGAAACCCGAATCAGCCATAGAGCGTTGGGTGAGTCGCATTGAGCGGCGTATGGGTGGCGGCTGTGAACGTGATGTATACCGTTGGCCGCGTCCAGAGCGTTGTCGCGGTCGGCGTGGGCGTCGCGCAGCGCGTGTGCAAACATAGCAACAAACGCGCCAATATATGAATCTTTGTGGAACATTGAACACCATTTTAGTATGCAATAGTTGTTAAAGTGTATTATACCTAAGTACCTACCTGAAAGAAGTGGCCATTACATCTCCAATATTGGACAGACATAGCAACATGAGTGGTATGCCCACAATGGCATAGAAAATGGTCGTAACTTTACCCCAGTCCGTTCGCGGGGATATGTGTCCATAACCTGGAAGTAATTTGAATTATGTGCATGGTCGGTAGAAGTACAGAGTTTCATTCAAAGTTTAGATAATAGTTTTAACGTCTACGTTGTCAAAAACAATAAAGGAACAAATTTAAATGGTTTAACAGATTTCGATTTATCTAAAATCTTTATCAAACGAAAATTATTTCAGCGCCAGACATATGTTAGGTATGCCAGGGTAGAGTCTGTACAAGAAAGACTTCAATCTACTCCATTTGGCAAATTTCACTTTGGTTTCTCGAGGAAACTGCAGCTCTTCTTTTACACTAGTACTTCCAAAGTATTATTCACTGTAAGAGAGAAAAGTATAGTATAAATTGATCCTCGGTAAACGATGTGGGAAGCTTGCTCAATTGGTTTGGATAGTAGCTGCCTCAATAAATTTGTGGCAAACTCCCGGCGTTTTGCCGATAAATGGCGGTCTTTTCGAACCATACCTAGGAATTTTGGACAACACAAAAAACAAGCGTCTCTAGCTGTTCAAGAGTGATTTTTTGAGACCTCAGGAGCAATCAATCTATTATCTTAACATAACCTATGGTATTGCAAGACTAATTTCAACGAAATTATCAGACTAGAAATTGTTTTGAGAGGAATCCCTTATATTATTTCATGGATAGTATAGAGACTTAAATTTTTAAACAGTCTTACTAAGGCATCAAAAGACGTGTTGTTACAGAAGGAGTGCCGTATTCTAGCCTACAAGTTCTAGGCAATCAAATTACGATTGCGTAACCAGGGGGCCAATCAATTCGTACTGTAAGCAGTTCTATGATACAGGATTTTGCCGGGTTTTCTTTGGTTTAATGTTGTTATATCGAAGATCTAACTAACTATTATTAGTGGCAAGAAGTTAAATATTGGCACCAATATTTTATATAGGGTCTGAGAAGAATGAACTTGAGACCGATAATCATGTAAGCAGCGGTGGCCCGGGCCTAAAAAGTTTCGCAGACTTCGGTAGGGCTCCAACTATCTGCAGCTTCGATATCAACTCGCATGTATTTCCATGTCGGGTGCAATGCGCACTTGTCCGACGGCAGCGCTTGAAGGCATGCTTGAGCTCACATCACTTCATCTAGTGATCGGTAGCCAAACACACACTGCTAGAAATGACAGCAGAAGGGTGTGACAGAGGTAAGGTAATCTCGGCCCAGCGATTGAAATAATTAAGTGGTGTAATACCACTTTAGGCAGAGACAGATATTGGCAACAACTACAAGGCATGCGACACGTCAAGTTGCTAATGGGGGTTACAACTTCAGCAAGTTTAAATAGGCAATCAACATCCTAGGAACATACGCAGACTACCAGTAATATTTTACACTGGTAACTGCAAGCTGATGAAGCATTTACACAACATGGACCTAGCTTCTTTCGTAAATTGCCGTTTCTGCGACAAGGAACCTGAAACACCAATACACCTGCTAATTGACTGCACAGCAGTCTGCAGACACAGGTTAAAGGCTCTTGGATTCATGTTTCCAAATAGGGATCACATGGCTTCGCTAGTACCCAGCAGGATATTGGAGTTTATTAATTTGCTGGGGCTAGGTGAGTCTTTGTGATTTAGGAGAGAGCAAAATAGACCTATGATCCCGGTGCCTTCATCATCTATAAATCAATCCATCAATAGAGATAAGCCTGGATACTTAGGAATTTGACCAAATGCCCCACGCACAAGCCAAGTCTGAACAATTTTGACATGATGAAGCTGGGTCTACATTTGACCAGGCGCAAGCCTGGGTATTTGTGGGTTTGGTCCAATACAGCTGGCTCTCCACTTGAGAAAAACCTTGATATTTAGGAGTTTGGTCTAGGCAGTTGTTTCTACATTTGATCGAAGACAAACCTGACCTGATACAGTTGGATCGGCATTTTAAGAGAGAGAGAGAGATAGATATCTAAATATTTATTAGTTTGTCGAATACAAGCATTGACCGGTTGTTGGAGAATTAGTTACAATATTAGCAGAAACCTACTATAATCGATTCATTAGGTTTGAAACGTAGTCTTTCAGGTGGAAATATTGTAGCACATCACGAAGATCTGACAAAGAAAAATGCACCCTCAGTCTAGTATTTTTCTGCGGTCGCCCTGGTATATCAGGGTCTCGTGCTTAGATAACTTTGGAACTATTTGCTAATATTTAATAAATATCTGACGAAAACGCAGTTAAAACATAAATGAAGATGTTGCAAGTACCCACAAGCAAGTACTCATCCGAGTCTATACGGCTATGTGGGAATATGGGTATGTGACAACGTCATGCCAAGCACACGATGCCATTGAAAATTGGTCAACCAACTGTAACGCATTGGGCAAGGCTCCGCATTGACCAGACGCAACTCGCTTATTACACACGGAGCATGCAATGTATTGTTTTGAGCAATGAATTAATATTTCTTGCAATTGTGAATTTTACGAGTTATATACCGCAATTATTGGATGAGTAACTCAGAATTTGCGTTTGCCATTGTATATTGCATACTTATGTAGATATATATGACACACATTCGAATCAATTGCTAAATTCAGCAGTTTTAGCGCTTATTTGCATGTCACCAACCCGAAAGCGCAGGAAATGTGAGTCAAGCTGCCAACCTGTAACTTGTAATGACATACTGCAGACATAATTGGGGGGAGTTGTAAAATTATGATTGCACAAAATAATCAATTATTGCCTTTTGAAAAGATGGAAATGCCCATTAAAGTGTTCTTAACATAAGTTGCTGGGCAGTGTGGAGTATGTAACCCATTAGGGTAGTTATAAAAATTATAAAAAAAAAAGTCGTTGACACTCCTTAATTTCTTATATGTTGTGAAATAAAGATTATGGGTCGAATCATAGACCGAATGAACCATTAAACGGAGCCTACATATATATGAATATTATACCCTGTACCCTTAACAAATTTGTTAAGGCGATTAATGTTAATCCCTAAAACTTCGGTAGTCTCACCAGAGTTGTTTCTACCGAGTTATTTTAATATCATTCAGAAAAGCTTGACAGTAAAGAAGGAAGTAACCATATAACTGTACCCCGTATTCTTTCTTTTGCAAAGAGCGTCCCACAGAGTATTTAGGCCGTGACGCGTGTGAACCTATTGGACAGTGTTCAGGCAGTAACAACGGTAGGTATGGAGCGGGATTATGTTTCATAAGAGAGTTCGGTGGACCTCTTACGGTTGACAAGTACGAGCTGAACTCACTGGAAGTCTAAACGTCCAACGTCAGAACGTAAGAAGACATCGAAAAACCGACTCGACCAGACTATATTCAGTTTGCCTCGCAGTTTGTAAAAAGGTCATAGCCAATATAAAACAGAGTTTGCCCGAAAAGTAAAAGAACTGATTTTCTTCCGCCGCGCCTGTACCACGGTGCTTGCGCACACCGACTGCATTTGGTAGATGGTGTTCGTAATTAACGAACGAACCGCTGGTCAGTGTTCTTAGCAAGAAGTTATGTGTTTCGGTCATATTAGGCCTTTCTGGAGGGCCGGAAAACGGTCGCTGATGAAGACCGTGCTGGGGGACCTGCAACTTCGATAAACACCGATAATGTGACTCGTGTGCGCAAATTTTTGTACACAGACCGTCGACTAAATAAATTTATCAAAAACTTTAATTCATGACATTGTGTTAAAGCATTTGAACATGCGCAAAGTGTGTGTGTGATGGTCCCAAAAGTGCTCACTGACGACCAGAAATAGCGGCAAGTGAAAGTGTGTAAAGAAAATTTGAACATGTGTGAAAATTACCCTCAATAACTTAATCACAGATGGGGAGTCATGAACCTTTGAGTATGAAATCGAGACAAAGAGGCTTTTTGAGACGACAAAGGAGATCCATGCAGCATGCACCCCGGCTCTCAACGCTATTACGGATAATGCTTTCGTGACGCCTTCAATACTTGAAAAGCGAAATTTTTTAAATCGACTAAGTCCTATTACTTTCCGGATAAACCCTAAATATATACATTATATAAATGATCAACAAGACACGTTGAGCTGTTTTAGCCACTTCCCTGCCTGTCAGCCTGTCTGTATACTCCCTAGGCTTTTCCGATATCTAACTGAAATTCGAATCGCGCCCTCTTCTTCCTTAAAAAAAGCTCATTTGTCGGAGCCACCCATATTGGATCACTATATTATAGAGCTGTCATACAAACAGAACGATCAACATCATGATCCTGTATGAAATTTTTTTTTTTTTATTCGACGAGATATCTTCATACAATTATTGTATGGAAACCCTTTTCTTTGTGAAGATATTGCAGCTTCGGTGGAACCGAAGTTAACGTTTTTTTCTTGTTTTCAAATTAAATTAGAGTCTGTTCGCCTACAAAATAAGGTCAGTCAGGTGGATTCAGTGTAAGATGCAGGACAATGCCATCGAGTTAGGAGTCTTTGGATGGAGGAAAATCCAGATCGATTACGGTTATCTAGAACAGACTGAAGCAAAGCTAAACCACCCTAATGTTTTTGAAACCAAAAAGGCGGTAATTGAGATACCGGCTGACCAAATATGCTTTAACCAATTGCAATTGGTACCTGCATTTTTCATTCTTATGAAAACTAATATTAAACGTGAAATTTGGACCACCCTAATGAAATTGCATTGTAATAATATTAATATTACTACCAATTAAAAATCGCATTGTAAATAGAGTATAATTTAACATAGTGAACTCTGAACGCACTAACGTACATACATACCTAGAGACCCACACAGATAGAAGCAGCAAGCGTTTGGCGTGGCGGACCAAAACATTTGTGTTCATTAGCCGCCTCGGTCAGTAAACTCTGAACGAAACCAAAATTAAATGTCAACACTTTTACCAACACTTTAACACATACACACACACACACAAGCGCACTAATAAATATTTACATTAATTACTAAATATCCGCATTCTAGTTTAATCTAAAAATTCAAATTTTGGGAAATTTTTTACCACTTAAAGCCATAACATTCAACACT